CAGATGCAAAGCAACGCAACTAACGCAACTGAGCAACGTACCTCAATACTAAATAACAAATTACTGCTCATATAATAGTAATTGTTTATCGCCATGACAACCGATTAACAGGGAATTAATAGGCTTCCGGTCGGTAGTGTTAAAAAGACTGTGAATCAAAAATGAATTTCAACGCTAGGTAAAATACGCGAGGTAATATTCAAGATATTTGAAACGATGTTTAAGATGTGAGTTTTCTTCGCATATTCACAAGACAGGGGCGCTGGTGTTTCAATCAGGCTCCATCGATAATGAGTTATAAACATTAAGAGTTAAGCCTGACGGGTGATTATTTCATTTCGTCACGGATGATAACAAGTATGCATATCAAGATCGCGCGAAGCACGTAAACAAAGGAACAGTCTTGCCAAGTTTTTCTCCAATCGAAATAACTTCTATCCTTTAACGAATATGTAGAATATCGGAAAGTCATTTTTAAGCCTTCGAATATGACAATTGCTCGAAACGGATATATAGTATATCGATTTGAATGCAAATATTTCGCTGCCGTTAATTAGTTGGCCCGAATCAACGATAATTTAACCAGCTGGCCGAAATTAATTTTCATCGCATTGAATGTCAAACGAACACAAGCGACACTCGATACTGAATTTCGTTAGACCGAAATTAGCCAATAGCTAATTAGATAACTTAAGGCTTCACTAACAACGAGCCAGCAGAGGTAGAGACTAATCGGTGCACGCCGTTATTCTCGTTAGATATCAGCGCCTAAGGGACCATAAAACAGAGAGTGATGACGAACACAGTGAGGAATTCTCCGAAAAGCTAACCAAAATATGAAAATATCCTTTGATTCGTACAAAATTTTTGGATTTTGGAGATTGCTGCTTACGAATTCAAAGTCGAAAGTAAAAAAAGAAGAAAAGAAAAAAAGAAAAACAAAACGATGGCACTAAAATGTTGGGCAGATATGTAAAAAGATATTAGATTGGGCCGAAACACGATATCCATGGGTATTCCAAATCGCTGATCATGAATTCAGAGTCAAAATTGCAAACATCTAGATGGCGAATCCAAAATTCAGGATAAATATGTTAAAAATAATATTGTATTAGTCAGATTTTCGGTTTAAATTTTCAGACTCGTTAATTACACATAATTGAATTTAAAGTTTGAAAACGTTAAACGAAAGATTTTATTATTGCCGAAGCAAAATTTTTCTCAGGTTAATGATCGTAAAAATTTATATCTTTTCTTAATATTCCATGAATATTCGTTGAATTTTTTAATATTTGTAGTGACCAAGTTCTCACTCTCGCCAATATTCCTACTTGAAGGAGGTTCGAGGACTTTCTCGCAAGTCCTCGGTGAAGCCACGACCTCCCTTAAATAGAAGTTCCTATGCCACCTAAGTATCCCCGGTCTAAGGTAGGGCCTGCTAGAAGAAAGGCTTACCGATCAGTCCTTTCCTGTCGTCCTTCTACCTGTTACCCTATCGATAGCAACGACGACCACAGGGTTACCACCAGGCCAGCACCATAGGACACCAGATCATCATATGGAACCACAAGAGACAACACAGTTCGTAAGAAGCATACCATCCGAACACACCGAAGGAATAAAGAGAAGCTCAAATAAACATATAAACCCCCGTGGGGGGGATCCCGATATATTCATTCTCAAGAATATCAGCTCATATAATTTGAAAACATTCTTGAAGGAAATTATAATAAATAATATTAAATTGAAACCGAGAATTAGCATAGAATATTTATCTAACAGTATAGAATATTTTCGCTTCTACAAAACATTCCTAATATACCGAAAAGCGTTATAAGCCGATTCGAATGAAACGATTATCTATGAAAAATATCTTCGTTTGCCTTTCTTTTTGAAATTTTCATACTGTAATTCCTTCTAAACAATTAAAAAATTTTACGAGATGATTTTAATCAACTCATAAATGTCCCTAAAGAAAAAGAAAATGTACTTTTCTCGTAAGTATTCAACCTTTATCTAAAGTATTTTTCATTATAAATAATAACAATGACGTAAATGCATATTATATAATAATATCAGGTGAATTCTTATTCTTACATATTTTCTTCTTATATATCGAAACAAACTGTGAATTTCGATAAAACGCCAAGATAGCAGAAAAGCCAATTATTCTGACGTACTTTCTGATATTGTACATTTATCTTAAACATTTTTTTTTCTTTCTTTTTTTTTTCTTTTTTCTTTTTTTTTTTGAACATCTTTTCATGATTCAAACTATTTGCAAGTAATTGAAAGGGATAAAATTAAATGTCACGTTTTGTATGCGTGTACGTGGGATATACGTTGAAACAATATTATAGGTCATTGTCTGGATGACAGTATCTTTTATGTATGGGTATGAATATGGGGTGCATGGGGACGCTTGGGCCGTTCCTCGAAAACGAGTAACTATAAACAGCGGCCTCGGATTCGACTCGAGCGTTCAAGCTGATATTTGGAGTGCGTGCGGAAGCACGGGTGACCGTCTGCAAGGATTGTATGAACGGAATATTTATGGGAATATCGAATGCGAGTGAAGAGTGTCTTACAAGAAGAGTGCAAGTCCTTCGAGTCATTGATTTAGTTGAAACTTTGCAGGTTTCTTGGTTTAGTCATCCAGTTCAAAAAAATGTATCATGATATAAGGGCAACTACTCGACAGTTTTTGAGATATTTATGATTAAAGCTTTATTATTCTTTACTTCCAGATTTATCTTGAATAGTTATCAAGTGTCGTTTTGGCTTAACGGAGACATATGAAAATTCCTACGCTGAAGGCTTGGGGTGTTCGATCCCGTTCGTAATTAATTGTTTTTTTTTTTCAATCTATTTTTCATTTTGTATTAATTTTTTGGACTTGCACTCTCCTTGATAGAATGTGAGGGTAAAATATGCGCATTAGGATGCGAGGGAATCAATTTGTTGTCAGGGTTAAAAGAGAGGGGGGGGGGAGAGAGGGGAGGCGAGAGAGAGTGTGTGCGTGTGAGAGAGAGAGAGAGAGAGAGAGAGAGAGAGAGTCGAGAAGCATCGAGTCAACGTTTATAGCATAGGCATAAGAATAAATCATTTTTTATATTTTAATTGCGTTTATTTTGTTACCCGCTCAACTTGCCTGCAATATAAAGCCAGAGATTTTGCTATGCGTTGTTCAGGTGCTACCCGGAAATTTTAAATGAAATCTTTCTATATTTTTTTGTATCTTTTAATACATTAATACGATATATTTCAAAATATTTTCTTATATTTTAACATATTTCCATTATAAATTGAAATATCATTGGCATTATCTCTATGCGCTTTGCCTAGGAATTAAGTTATGTGGGCGACTTACATTTATCTTTGTGACATCTCGCGACTCATTTTTTAAATAACGCATAGTATGTGCATATAAACGAGCATGTTTGCGATTTGAAATCGTATTGGATTGTCAGGAAAATTAAAATTGAAAATAGGAAAAACTTTGGCGGCAATGGGTTTGTATTCGATTAGCGTTTTTTTTTTAAGTAATTTTTTTCAACTGCTTTTCAGCGGGAAAAAAATGTGATTTTGTCTTATAGGAAATTTAAAGTGCTCGTGATTAATTCGATAATAGAACGGAAGAAGTAAACAGTTCATACTTCACTCAGCGAGACGAGTTAGTAAATGTGAATAAACTCGTTCACATGTCGCGTGTAACAAATGAAATGAACCGATACATCGGAGAAGTATGGCTTGAAGACTCGAAGGGACTTGTATTATTCGCTGAGAGGAATGAAAAATGTCCGCTGAAATAGATTCTGTGATCAATGCTTTTCACGTAAAGCCGACTTTAATTATTTACGAATATTCGATATCGGTAGTTTATTCGCAAAACATTGAACGTAAATAAAAGAATTAATTTAGAAATACATACGTAGACTCGAGGTTGAAAAGCTTTTATCGGTTGTAAATAATGACAAAATTACTACAATGAATAGAAAATGCAGGTTGTACAATATTGTAGGGAATATTAGAAGGAATATTTGAAGATATTTACCTATGTTTTGCAAATATGAATTTTTTATTGCAACGAAAGGAGGACATATCAAATATTTGTTGCAACCAAGAAGCTTTGTTCTACGTTACTTCTATAAATCTTTGAATTAAGATTCAATTGACCTATTTACATTCAACGTATTGCACAGAAATTCACACGCGATATCGAATATTCGTGAATAATAAAATTCGATATATTTTACGTCGATAGGTTGATCAGATATTTTTTTATTCTTCTCAATGAATACTATAAGACCTTCGAGTCTTGCACTTATCAAATATCCTATATAACTGTTTTAGAATCGTTGTAATTAGAATGTAAAATCGATATAATATCGATTTTGAGAAACCAAAACCAAACCCGATATGTTTACTATATTAATTCTAGATATTGATTCTAGATAACAGTTATTCGCAATAAAAATTCTTCCTAACTCTTTGAAGAATCGATACCGATATTATATCTATTTTCAACTCTTGCTTTCCATCGTTTAATTTCTTTTTTGAAAAATTTCTCATCTTTTTCGACGATAAATTCACCGAAATGCCATATTTTTCATGTTTACAGCATATCCAAATTTTTATTGCTTCTATTCAACAAATTAGATAAGACGTAAATTAATGATAGCCAAGCGATATTTTCTTATTCTCTATAATATTTTCTTATCTTTCTTTTCGTTTCTATTTTTTCTTGCTTTTTTTTTTCCTTTTTTTGTCAATTCTATGAAAAGCTATTTCTTTCCTTAATTGTTACATTTACCGAACCCAGTCAGTAATATGTAACCAAATCTATCTAGCGTTTGGTATCGGAAAAATGTGAGTATTTAAAGAAAATTGAAGTCAACTGTTAAAATCGGTATATATTTTCCAAACAATCCAATATTTGTTCTATTTACTTTCGCGATGTTTCGGAAATGTTACTTAAAAAATCCCCTTATGATTTACAGATGTCACCAAAGAAATGGTCCAAGAATACGTTTGGTTGGGCCAGAGCTGAAGTTTTAGGAGCTTTGGTAAACGCCGTTTTTTTAGTCGCATTGTGTTTCGGTATTACCGTGGAAGCGTGTAAAAGATTTATCGAAGTAGAAGAAATACACGAAGCAAAATTGCTTGTGGCGATTGGAGCACTTGGCTTACTAGTGAATGTTATCGGACTGTGTTTGTTTCATGGTGAGTATTATCTAGAACGATATTACATTTAAATGGTTTTCTATTTTTCTTTTTTTCTTTTTTTTCTTTTTTTTTTTCTTCTTTTTCCTTAGATATCCTTAGATCTAAATTGACAATCTCAGACACTATTAATATTCATTATGTCATTTTGAAAGCAAATACAAACATGCTATTTGTTAAATGTATTTGGTTAAATTTGCTATTAATTGATTCGCGTCAGTTCCGTAAAAGGGATATAACATTATTAAAGTCAAATCGTTTCCGTTGAGATCGTGCCTAATCTTATTTTAATCAGGAAAATCTTATCGATTCTGCTTAGTAAGAAAAAAATAAAAATTATAAGAATTTTATGTTTCCTTGTGGCTCGATGTTTGTTGATCAATTCGTGTAGCGAGTAGTGATTTTTTGGAATGTAATAATAAAAAAATGATCCTTAATTATTTAAGAAGAAGGTATCGATATTGTCACTACGAAAGTATTGCTATTGATCGCATTTTGCACGGGTTTGTTAAGTTGATACTAAGTCTAACGGTTAACAATTAATTTTATTTTATTTTTCATTGATTTATTTCGCGTTATATAATATTGGAGATTCAATATGTTTAAACATTTCCGTAAGATTTCCAATTTCCTGCAATATCGTAATCATTTTGCGAGATAATCATCGAGAAATTTCGGACACGTTTAACTTTCACTTGTGCGCGTGTGTGCGCTTGTGCGCGCGCGCATTATATAAAGCATGAATTTTACATGAAATAAATTTTATTATGTAAAATATAAATAAAATATAATAAAATGAGAGGGCGCCTTGAGGCGCTATGAGGAGCCTTCTCCCTGCTGTGAGGTCAAACGCATTTCGACCTATCATCTAACTTAAACCTAAATAAACCGGTCATCGACACTGAGAACAACATCGAAAAGGCTTCTTTGCTCGTGTCAGAAATCCTTACGATCATACATACGATTCTTACAATCTATCATAACCGTGATGTAATATCGTAGTAACGGTGTAAATCGAAGAATCGATATATTTTGTCAAAACCAATTGTTTAATATTAACAAAAGACTTGAAACTACGTTACAAAATGTTACGTAAGCAATTGCCTTCGGTTATATTTTATCCTTTTTCACCCTCTTTTTCACTTATGCATTCATCCCTAATTCTTTTTTATAATAGAAACAACCTCACAGTTACATTAGTGTTTGTATTTATATGATTATCAGTAAGATAAAAGTAAAGACGAAATTTAACAATAGCGTAAAAGTGGACGTGTTTTCAGTTAATGATGCGAATCGCTAAAAATATGGAAAAAATCGGAAATTTTAGTATTACCGGTAATACCACATGTGTTAATGAATATTATCACGTTATCGAGTCTCCAACTTACGCGATGTAAATTGTAAGAATTAAAATAAAATTACTTATTTTATACTAAAGGCTAATCTTTATGTATCTTATACTATTTCCGCTCAGAATTCAATATAAATCCAAAATACGGATCCTAAATATATATTTTATTTAAAAACATCAAATTAACTTCGAAATTCTTGAACTCTCGAAATATTCATAGTAAAAAATACATGTAAATCATGTATAGTTAGACGTAAAAGGTTGTTACACGGATTATAACGAACAGAAATTTATTTATAACACAGGGTGTACCATGACAAATGAAAAAGGACAAAATTTCGATGTTTGGCAAAAAATATTTGATCATTATTCGAACCATTAAAATTTAGTAAATATAACGTAATTAAATTTCGATAAGTTTATTTGTTTGAATAATATACAGTAATTACGTAATTCACATGGTACTCGATTAATGCATCGTATCGGGTAAATTTTTTGGCAGCAGAAAACATTGACCGATCGGTTAAGCGACGCACAGTGGTTAAAGTGAGGAAAAATGTTATTTTGTTTAACATTTAATGTATACAGTTTTTTTTATTACAGTTACATAATAGGATAGTCGAAGGATCAGAATCAATACATATTCTTTGTAAATACCATTAACTTATAAGACAATTATAATGTAGAAATTAGTGATTAGAACGCCTAGAATTTTACGCTATATTTTAGGTCGAATTCGAGTACATGGAACTTAAAAAGGAAAAATCCAATTTTGTAATTTCATTAATGTAAGAATGGAACGAGTGCGGTCCTGAGAGAATGCTAAGAGTGTTTTGGACGTAGGACGAAAGTAACCTCGTGCAAGAGGAGAATGCGTCTTCAGAGTTTAAAGTACCTGGACCACTGTGGGTGAGGTTGCGTGGGAAATGCGTGATTGAGAAAAAAGCCTGGGTGTTAAAGAAGACAGAAGACAGAAGACAGAAAAACATCTTTTTTCTTTTTATTTTCCCTTTATTATTTGTGTCTATTTAAAAATATTTTCAAACATTTGTACAATGGCGTTTAACTTTCGTTACTTTAAACGGCAAGTACTACAATTACCTTGGTTACATACATACGAGAGATGTTATGATTTCGGTAAGTCTTTCGGACGTTTACGTTTTAATTTAACTGTGTCAGCATAACAGTTGGTCGTTAATGGATTTGCGTGGATGTCGATTCTAGCTTTGTGCTTGTTCGTCAAACGCATAATTTCCTCCTGTACAAAGGGAACGTTTAGTGATTTACGAATTGTAGGAAAGGATTTCAGTGAAACTATACTCTTTTTGCTTCTGAGTAACTTCTTTATTCTACGTATGCGGGTCGGATAGTGCCCCAAAAACGCATCCCTCCCTGTTTTATAGGGCTTGTCCCCTCTCCGTTGCCTTGTCTTCGCGTGTCCGTAGCTTCTTCCGCTGAGCTCCAGTCCAGACGTCCCAGCTTGGCGTCTAGCATCCCTGTCTGTGGCTGTTGTCTTTGGGCCTCGGCGAGGCCTTCCTAGAACTCCAACGAAGAGCTTTCTCCCGCCGGAAGACAATGGTCAGCGGTGAAAGTTGCCCACAGAATGTCATCATTTCTGATATACTAAAGATCGTTTATTATTGTACGGAGGATTTTTGCTCGTTTGCTTTCCATTTTTTGGATATGCGACTTTGCTGCCATTCTCCAGAGCTGGATTTCATAGGTCCAAGTTGGTTTTATTGCACACTTATATACGAGAAGTGTGTTGTTCGTGTTGGGCTTACTTTTTCGTCACAGCCAGTTCATAGATTTGTTTCCTATTTTAATGTCTTTTAATTTTCTGTTTTATATGTTGGCTCCATGTTAATTTCTTGTCTAAATGAAGACCCAGATATTTCACCGAGGTTACTAGTGGTATGGTGCTGTTATATAATTTAAGGTTAGTCGTTTGCACAGGTTTTCGTAAGGTGAAGATGCGTGCGCATTTAGAGGCGTTGACTTTAATTCTGTTAGTATTTAACCAGTTTTCCACTTTTACGATATGATTTTGAAGATTTAATATGGAAATTTCTGTTAAAGAGATTATTAACATGAATGGAGATTATTGCAATGTCATCTGCAAACGTGTACATTTGAGTCTTTTCATCTGTTGGGATATCCGCCGTGTAGATAGTGTAAAGTAGAGGGGCTAATACACTTCCTTGAGGTACTTAAACTTGAATTGTCCTGACACGCATGTCAGAAGCAGTGTCTTTAATTTTTACTCCGAAGCTTCTGTTTTCTACGTAAGATGTGATTATTGTATGTATCGATGTGAGTAGCAAGTGTTGCAATTTTTCAAGCAGTCCTTGGTGCCAAACTCTGTCGAAAGCTTTCTCGATATTTAGAAAAAGTGCTGAACAGTCTTTTTTTTCTTTTCTCTAATGACTGGTCGATTAGTTGCACCATGCGATGACTTTGTTCGGTGGTGTTGTTTTTTTCAGTAGCCGAATTAATGAAATTAATTGGAATTAATTGGAATTAATTGAAATTAATTCTTTATCGTTAACAATAGCGATGATTCTTTTATGTATCACTTTTCCAATTACCTTTGCTGGTATCTGCTAGTATGTTGGGGTTTTTTCCAGGTTTTAGTAATGTTATAATTTCTGCATTTTTCCATTTCTGCACTTGTCCACATTTGGCGGAAGTATCCCACCCGAAGAATTGCATTTGAAGGTATATGGATATATCTTAATTCTTTTGCCGGTAGTTCTTTCAGCATTTCGGCTGTGATTCTATCGTTCCCTTGTGTTTTATGGTTTTTGAGGTTACGAATTATGGCTTCGAGTTCTTTTTTAGTTGGTTTGATTGGGGGTGATGCTGTCTTCGATACTATTATTATTGGGACTGAGTATCGTTAGTGAATACCTCTTGAAAGTAGTGCACCATTGTATTTACTTCTTCTTTGAGTATTTTAGACCCTGCCCGGTTAGAGGCTTGTTCTTTCAGTATTTGAGACACTGTCCGGCTAGAGATTTGATTGGACTTATTGGATATTATATTGGTCTTTTGATTTTTTTCACCGCTTTCCACAGGGGCTAATTTGTTATTTCAGTTGTATCGAGATTGGAGGAAATACAATATCTGTCGAAGTCGTTATTGTTACAGTTACTAATTTCTGTTTTTATAGTTTTATTAAATTCTGTCTTCAAGCGTGATAATCGCCTGTGTTGTGACTGCCTTCTTATTTATATCTTTTCTTTAATTAGTTCAGCAATAAATGCAGGATATGCTGGATATCTTCTTTCATTCTCTTTTATTTGGTACTGCGTAGATTTCATTGCTGCTGTCCGAAGAAGAGTTGTCAGCTTTTCTGTTGCTACTTCTATGTTGTGTTTGGTTTTGAGTGTTATGTTACATGTTAGTTTCTTTTCTATAACTTTTTTATAATTATCCCAGTTGGTAGTTCTGTTTGTTAGGTTTGACTGATTGAAAAATTTAGCGGCTTTCGAATTTATCGCGAATATTACTGATGTATGATCCGAGGTAAACTTTAAGTGTTCAGTATTTGATGGCTTTTCATATTGGTAATTCCAAAGTCCAATGTACATGGTATTTTATTCGGATCGGTTGGCCAGTAAGTGGGTCTGGCGATTGATAAGATTGT